ATCTGGAAGAACCGCACCGTGGACATCGGGGTGATCACGGCCGAGGAGGCCCTGAACTACGGCTTCAGGTGAGCCCACCCCCCGCCCCAGGTGTGCGCCCGGGGCGGGGCGTGGCACAGCCCTCAGGTGTGTTTTTGGGGGGTTCCCAGCGGGGTGATGCTCCGGGGCTCCGGGATCCACTGGGACCTGCGGAAGACGCAGCCCTACGACGTCTACGACCAGGTGGAGTTCGACGTCCCCATCGGCTCCCGGGGGGACTGCTACGACAGGTGAGGGCACAGGGAGGGGCACAGGCACAGGGGAGGGGTGTGAGGAACAGGTCATGGTGCCAGGGACAGGTCATGGTGCAAAGGACAGGTCATGGTGCCAGGGACAGATGATGGTGCAAAGGACAGGTGATAGTGCCAGGGACAGGTGAGGGGCAGGTGATGATGCCAGGGACAGATGATGGTACCAGGGACAGGTCATGGTGCCAGGAACAGGTGATGATGAAAAGGACAGGTCATGGTGCCAGGGACAGATGATGGTGCCAGGGATAGATGATGGTGCCAGGAACAGGTGATGGTGAAAAGGACAGGTCATGGTGCCAGGGACAGATGATGGTGCAAAGGACAGTTGATAGTGCCAAGGACAGGTGAGGGTACCAGGAACAGGTTAGGGTCAGGTGATGATACCAGGGACAGATGATGGTGCAAAGGACAGGTGATGGTGCAAAGGACAGGTGATGGTACCAGGGACAGGTCATGGTGCCAGGGACAGATGATGGTGCCAGGGATAGATGATGGTGCAAAGGACAGGTCATGGTGCCAGGAGCAGGTGATGGTGCAAAGGACAGGTTATGATGCCAGGGACAGGTGATGGTGCCAGGGACAGGTGATGATGCCAGGGACAGCTGATGGTGCCAGGGACAGCTGATGATGCCAGGGACAGCTGATGGTGCCAGGGACAGCTGATGATGCCAGGGACAGGTGAGGGACAGGTGATGGTGCCCCTGGGGGACAGCCAACCCCCGTGCCCTGGTGTTGGGGTGCCCAGGTACCTGTGCCGGGTGGAGGAGATGCGCCAGTCCCTGCGGATCATCCTGCAGTGCCTCAACAAGATGCCGCCCGGCGAGATCAAGGTGGACGACGCCAAAATCTCGCCCCCGAAACGGGCGGAGATGAAGGTAAAGGTGGCACTGCCACACCCGGGGCAGGGGACACCTGGGGCAGGTGACACCGGGGACAGGGGACACCTGGGACAGGTGCCACCCACTGCAGGAGCCCCCCCTTCTCTCCCCAGACCTCCATGGAGTCCCTGATCCACCACTTCAAGCTCTACACCGAGGGCTACCAGGTGCCACCCGGGGCCACCTACACGGCCATTGAGGCCCCCAAGGTGACACTTCTGGCCCTGTGACGGGGACAGGGGTCTGTCCTCCCGTGCCACGTGTGTCCCCCCTTGCACTGGGCGTGACTGGGGGCTCCCAGTGTGTCCCCAACCCTGTCCCTGTGTCCCCAACCCTGTCCCTGTGTCCCAAACCCTATTGCCATGTCCCCAACTGTGTCCCCGTGTCCCTAAGCCTGTCACCCTGTCCCTGTGTCCCCAACCCTGTCCCTGTGCCCTTATATTCCCAAGTGTGTCTCTGAGCCTCTCCTCATGTCCCCACCCCGTCCCCA